AGTGACCAGTATGAGAGAGTGAGAGCGATAACACCAAATTTAACACACCTGCTCCCCATTCACACCTGAGACCTTGTAACACTAATGAGTCACATGACACCGGGGAGAGAAAATGGCTAATTGGGCCCAATTTGGACATTTTCACTTAGGGGTGTACTCACTTTTGTGGCCAGCGGTTTAGACATTAATGGCTGTGTGTTGAGTTATTTTGAGGGGACAGCAAATTTACACTGTTATACAATCTGTACACTCACTAATTTACATTATAGCAAAGTGTCATTTCTTCAGTGTTGTCACATGAAAAGATATAATAAAATATTTACAAAAATGTGAGGGGTGTACTCACTTCTGTGAGATACTGTATTTGACGGCTGCTACGATGAACAGAGTAGACCTAATGCATTAGTCTTTCAACACATGGAAACCCTTCCCGTTATCAAATCAAATCAAATAAAACATATATATTATCTGTTAGGGGTGGAATGGTACCCAGATGTCACAGTTCGGTATGTACCTTGGTTCGGGGGTCACGGTTCGATACAATTTCGGTACAACAGGAAAAAAATAATACAAATGCTCGGTTTCTTTTCATTTATTTTGAACAGACAGTAGTACAAATAAAAAAAGAGAACACTTTAATATTCACATAGAAAATGCAGAAAACAAAACTACAAAAGAAATTATAACTGTTTTAAACACTTTTGACCTGATTCAGCATGTGCACACACAATCGTGGACATACTCTAGATTTAATCATCAGTAGAGGTCTAAACATTTCATCCATTGTTATTAAGGACATAGCACTATCTGATCACTTCTGTATTTTCTTTGATATATTGATCTCTGTTACCACTGAATCTAGATCTGTCTCTGTCAGAAAGAGATGCATTAACAAAAACACTAGTGTGCTATGGAGGCTTTCTGGCAGAAAGAAATCAGCTTGGAGAAAATCAACAGCAGTTCAGAGTATGAAAAGACAATGCAGAAAAGCTGAGCGGATGTGGCGCAAGACTAAACTTGAAATTCACTATAGCATTTATAAAGACGTGCTTTCGTGCTTTCGTGCCTTCGTGCTTTCAATGTGGAACTAGGCAAAGCTAGGCGTCATTCTTCTCAAACCTTATAAACAGTAACTTAAACAACACTCGCACTCTTTTTGCTACTGTTGAGAGACTGACAAACCCCCCAGGTCAGATTACCAGTGAAATGCTCTCCGACAGCAAATGCAATAAGTTTGCGTCCTTCTTTTCTGGGAAGATCAATAATATCAGGAAGGAGATTAGCACATCCCCAAGTTATGCAGAGGTCAGACAGATTCTACCGCAATATCAAAAAGAAGATACTATGTCTGTCCTTGAAGAAACATTTTGGAAGAAATAGTACAGCACCTTAAATCGTCAACCTGCTATCTTGACATACTTCCCACATATTTTTTCAAAAGGGTGCTTAACTGTTTAGAAGCAGATCTCTTAGAAGTGGTGAACGCCTCACTTCTTTCTGGGACTTTTCCAATCTCCATGAAAACTGCAGTTGTTAAACCCTTTTTGAAAAAGAGCAATCTTGATAACACCATATTGAGCAACTATAGACCAATATCAAATTTTCCTTTTAAAGGCAAGATTATTGAAAAGGTAGTCTTTAATCAGCTGAACAAATACTTAAACTCAAATGGATACCTGGACAATTTTCAATCTGGTTTTCGACCGCATCACAGCACAGAGACCATGCTCATTAAGATAATAAATTATATTCCCTTAAATTCTGATTCTGGCAAAATATCAGTGCTGGTACTACTAGATCTCAGTGCTGCGTTTGACACTCACGCAGTTTTGTTACTATCATAACATATTAGTAATCTAGTAAGAGAGACTGGAAAACTAGGTCAGGCTTTCTGGGATGGTAATCAAATGGTTCAGGTCATACTTAGAAGGGAGAGGTTATTATGTGAGTATAGGAGAGCA